TGCCGGGCAGAGCCGGCTGTAGTCTTTGGGGTTGTCAGTCGGAATATGGTTGGCGGTTTGCTCTGCGTATGAGCGAAAAAGAACTTGGCAATCAAGCCTGGGTGTGTTTCCGCTTGTGCGAGAATATGGATAAATCATTTTTAACTGACTGCAGTGCTACCTCGGCCCTAATGGTTATCGATAAGGCAGTATATTCACAGTCAATCTCTTCCATTGTGTCTCTGCCCAAGCCGGCGCTGTTAGTAACGCCTGATAACTGCATGCGTGTAACACAGGCATTAAATAGGAATACTCACACACTAACGCACACAATTTTCTCTCTCCCATCTCCTACTCTTTCTCCCACCAGGAGTGTGAAATCTAATCATCACTGGAGCCCACAATCATTTCTATCTAATCTGGAGAGACCCACATGCCTGACAACAACAATAGCAGGAGCTGCAGCAGCAAGCTAGCACTATCTCTGCTTCTAACAGCGCACACACTGCTGCTTTATATAAACCTGCCTATCTGGAAAAGAATGGTGAGGAGAATTTAGTAGGTCAAGGTTGCCATTTTTTACAATGACAATAACCGTACGTCTTTGCAATTCCAGCTGTTTGCGTGCAAGACCCTTAATGGAGAGGTTGTTATCTCAGCAGCATTGCTAACTTTATCCTCACACTTCCACCAACGTGTTCACTTATTTCTCGCCACGGTAGTTTTGAGTAACTCCAAAAGAAAGCTACATCAAGCTTCTCTTCCCCCTACTACTTAACTGTTTCCAAACACGCCGCTCTCCTCAGCCTGCCACGTCTTCGCCGCGCATCTCGGCGGGGTAGCCGACAGCGAGGGTACAGCACAGAAACCCCCTCACAGCTGCGTCGTCCTATTACCTCTGGCAGTCGTCTCACTGTCACACTGATCAATGATTCATGTGTGCGAGGGCCTCGGCCTGTTAGCTCGCCGCGCTGCTGCTCTCCGCCGCTCCCATTATAATGATGACTGGACTCGGAAAACTCTCTCTAACTTGTGACGGTTATGTGCGTTTTAGGAAGAGCCCAGGAGAGAAAGATGGACAAAGAGAGTGGGAGAGATGGATAGACAGACAGGGGGAAAAGGGAGTCAGAGTGAAGGTTCACGCTGAGCACATGCTGCTCACATGCTGCTCAAATAACCGACTGCACGTTGTGTCGGAGTGTGAGTCTGTGCGAGTGTGTATGTACTTTTTTGCCAACACCAAGGATCAAAAATGTTTTAAATCCTATAAGAAAAAAAAGAAGTGAGTTGGACTGCTAGATTTTTTTAAATACAAAATATTCTCTCTTTAACTCACATTTTTCTTTTAATAAAGTCCTGAGTGTGCGCCACACAAGTCACATAACTGCAACGCCCCCGTTTGACTTCATCTGGGGACTTGTTAGTAATACCCTCTTTCTCCGCTAGTTTCCTGTCTGTTTTTATAAACTCAGATGACCAATAAATAATTTATGGTAAAAATAAACCATATAAACAACATAACCCCCTGGATATTTTAACAATACCCTTCTGCACTATTTCAATTCGTTTTGACTGAAAATCAAATGTTCTCTGTTATTTTGGTTTAACAGATGGCTTTAAATGCGACCATAGACTGTATATATAAAGGACCATACCCATGAGCCTCAGCCGCCATTGCTATGGGGAAAAGAAGCCAGTCTGTAGCTGGAAGCAGCGCTGTGGCAAATGTACACACACTTTGTTGTTGCAATTTAGAACAAAGCACTATGTGGCATAGTTGCTGATAGTCATCTCACTTAAAGGAATAGTTCAACATTTTGGCCCGTGACTAGTTTTGTATCCCTTCCATTATTTTTATAATGTTGTCATGCACAAATAACTCATCAGTACAGCTGCAACAATTAATTGACTTATTGATTTTTTCGATCGACAGAATTTTTTATATTTTGAGTTATTGTTTAAAAGTAAAAAATCCTATAAAAATGCCTGAAAAAATGCTGGAATATATATATATACATATTTTAAAAACACTAAGCCACACTTTCTGTATTCCAACACATCAAACTCTCTCAACACCTGCATTCCTCTTTCCGACTCACTAAATCACAGTTGTTTTCTTACTTACTCACAATAACAACCTAACCAAGCGAAACATATTTTTTAAAAACATGTAATTCTCTCTATGGTCCTTTCATGTTCTTAGCACACATACAAACAATCTTAGCCGGGAAAAACATAACCTTTAAATTGGGCATTCTCCCTTATGACTGGACACACTTAAAAACATAGGAAACTAGGTTAAAAAAGCAGTTACGCTTTAAGACTTGGTCCTGTCCTTGCCTGTGGCTCCTCAAGTGCCTCTACATTTTGAAGAGCCCTGAATGAACCTGGTCAAGTGCAAAACAACAAACATGTCATCGCTACTCCTAATATTGCCGTAAGGACATTAGGTCCTCAAAAGTACAAGAGCATTCACACACAACTCTCATCACATTCCTGGGTCCTTATCCCTCCTCGTTTCAGTGTGTGTGTGTGTGTGTGTGTGTGTGTGTGTGTGTGTGTGTGTGTGTGTGTGTGTGTGTGTGTGTGTGTGTGTGTGTGTGTGTGTGTGTGTGTTCTGTGCTCTGTGGCCCTAGATGCTAAGTGTTCTAGCAAAAGGTCAACGGCCATAAAGCAGGAGTGTGAGGGAGAAGAAGACGGAGAGAGGCTGATGAGGAGGAGGAGCAGCAGAAGTAGGGTCTGAGAGCCTTTCGAGGAGGGATGGAGTGGTGAGGAGGATAAGATAGAAGAGTCGGTGAGGACTGTTGTTGCAGAGTCATTACTGAAGTGGGAAGCACTTGGCAAACAGAGGTGTGTGTGGATGTGTGGGGGGGGGGGCACCGAAGAACAAGGAGAAAGAAAAGCAATCCAGATGAGAGGAACTGAGGAGAGAATGGAGCACGAGAGATTGAACGTTGGAAATGCAAAATGTTTCGGTTTGGAAGTGACTCGTCATCCTTCACTGAGCACTCGTACAGACTAATTTATGAAACTATGATAGGTTGTTCCACTCCATGGCGTAATATAATGCAGTACAAACAGTGGTGATGCATACAAACCTACATTTGTTAGCACAACGCTACATTTCATGTTTATTTCTAATAGAAGAGTCTCAACAATGGGATGTAATGTAAATAGAATCTCTGCGGAAATCTCTCAATATCTATCGTTGTTAGACTAAATGGAATTCCGACCATCATCAACATGTTTTTTCTGTGCATTTCTCCCCCCTGTCTGTTAATGAAAAAGTACATAGAGTCCTAGACAACCAGAAAAGACTTTGCTTAAGACTAAACCCATGAAATTGAATGTACAACGCAGATCACTTGGGCATTTTCATACTTTTGTATTTCTCCCCGTCATCAGAATGAGTCATCACATTCATTTCACAGCGATGTGTTAATGAGAAAATCCCACACACTGCATCTCTTTAAAAATAAAATACAGAAAAGGGGAGATGTATTTAAAATGGTACCCGCACTGACGTGAAGAATCTTCGCGTGTCCGTGTCTGGCCTCGTCACAGGCTGACAGTTCAATTAGTCTGAATTAAATGATGCATGACGTCTCCCTCACGGCCCTGGTAATCGGCGGTGTTCTGCTCAAGGGAGCTCATATTGTGCATGAGTAGATAGCTAAACCAACAGTGGCCGGGGCTAGTCAAGGAAGCTGAAGATCCCCTTTAGATTCCAGAGTGGAGCATGGGACTGAATTGGCTTCAACTCTCAGAGCTCATCATGAATTTGCTTTGCAGAGAAAATAGTTATTTTTTCTGACTGCTAATGACTTTGAACTATCTGGAGTTTTAATTAGGTATTCTTCATCATCTGGGGATCAGGTGTGGGCGAGCGTGTAGGTGTGAGCGTATACGCATGAAACTAGCAAGAACATGTTTTTGTTAGCGACGTGTTACCTGTGTGATTGTGTTGGTCACGCCGTGTAATTTGTCTTTCTAAGCAGCCATTTTGTGCAAGAGTTAGTGAGCGTGTGTCAAGTGCTTTTTCAGGATGTCTGCAAATCAGCCCGACAGAAGACAGACAGCGAAGTCGTTTGAAGTCGTTAGAAATCGTTAGAAGTTCCTCACCTTGATCTGCATTCAGCAGCCATCCTCCTACTGCCACCGCTGCATAGTAACTTTGTGATTTGAGTCTTTGCTTTTGTTTGATGTTCGCAATGTGTCAAAGGAGGAACAAAAAAAAAACACCCTTCAGTGATTTATTTTGTTTGCTTTGTTCCTCACATCAGCAAAGGGACATTACCTTTTTAAAGTCAAAAACCAAAGCGGTGTTGGGAGTACAATCTCACATCAATGGGACCTGATGATTGGTCAGAGGAAGGTGGATGTTTTACTGAACGTTTTATTGACAGACTTGCAAGGCGCTAATTAATTTGCTTAATGGCCAGGTGTTAGTTGTGTTTTTTTATTCAACAGCATGCAGGATTGTTGTCCTAGTAAACACTTTTATAAGTGGGAGGAGGTACCCTCCCATCCTCCCATACCCCTTTGTTGTTTAAAAGGCCCATATGGATTGTGAATCGGCAGCAGCTTTCAAAGCATCATTAGTCATGCATAAAAGACTGTATTAGTGCTTTAATACCAGCCCAGGGCTCCGGCTCTGAAGATCTGTCTTAATTGCCCACCCCTGCCACAGTCTGCGCTCTTTTTTTTTTTTACGTATATGTATGTGCGTGTGTGCGAACGTTTATGTCTGTGTGTTCTTTTTGTTTCTCGCTAATTGTCCACTTCCTTGCCAGAAACTAATAAGCACATAAACTGAGTGAGAACTCTAAGACGGGCATTAAAGAAGATTCAGACACACCTCTGTGTGCCTTGACTAATGAACTTTTCTATCTGCTTCTCCCTTTGACTGCCACTGTGTGTGTGTGTGTGTGTGTGTGTGTGTGTGTGTGTGTGTGTGTGTGTGTGTGTGTGTGTGTGTGTGTGTGTGTGTGTGTGTGTGTGTGTAGCGGTCCACCTGTTAGGGCTGACCTGGCATCTGCGGCACGGCGAGAGCCAGCTGTATGAGAATGGCGTGCTCTCGGCGGATCATCAACAGGAGGACCGCAGCAAACCCCGACCCACCAGCTCCATCCACTTGCTGGACACACTCAACCCTGAAAATGCTCACGCAGGAGACCGAGGTGAGCTGACACGCGTTCAGTATTACACCACCATAACAGATGTTCCATACTCAACTATTGACAGGATTTGCCCGTCAGTAGCAACCAAGCCAATGTGATACAGCGAAGTGCAGTTTTGTAATTGTGTTGAATGAACACTGGCTTAAAGCGATCCACAAACTTAAACTGCTTTTCTTTATTTACGTGACATTTTAAAAGGAACCAGTGTAGGGGCTTATAAAGCAAGATGAACTGCTCAACCGGGCTACTTACAGTAAGTCAGGCATATAGTTAGGACAATCTGTTAAAACAAGGTAGGTTTAAATAAGTCCAACCTCTATGGCCATGGTTACTTCAGAGTAGCTTGGCCCTGGTCAGTGTAGTTTTAATGCTTAGCTTTACATCAGGCTTTTTGTGTACACGTCAAATGTGTCACACACAGAGTGAAAGTAGACTATTGAGTATTTGCCTCAAAGTCAATCAAATACATTTTTGGTTTATTACGGCCATTTCCCTCTACTGGCAAATAACTGACAAATAATTGACATACTGTTATTATCTTCCTGTTTTGGTTATGCAATGGTTGGCATGCAATGGTAAATGTAGCCGTCCTTTTCCCTGTAGATCGTACCCGGAGGCAGACTTCAATTTAAATCCAAGGACACATTTTTATCAGACTTAAAGGGTTTCTTTATATATGGAAGTGTGTTAACAGGCACCTCTGAGTTGAGTTGCATTGTAATGTAGGTTCAAGGCAAAAATATTGTTGTTTCTGGTTTATCAAGTGAAGTCCTTTCTTCATTCTTTTAGTGTCTACTGAAAATGCTATAGGGCTGCAAGGCAAGTACTACTTTAAACGTAAGGATTACAATAAGAGCAGTTTATATACCTGTTGCCAATATGTTGCCAATCTTCTTTAAATCCCCTACTGTAAATAAATTGAAAGGAACAGTCACCCCAGATTTGTTTTAATACTTTTTATTTATCGGCTTATTTCCTTAACAGTAAATTATATGAAGTCATATTTTTGCATTATTATATATAGGTAAATCTCAACAAATGAAAACAATTAAACGGGGCAGACAGCCAGTCAATTCGCTAACTGACAACATTTATTTCCCTCTATGGATTCATATGTGCTACTCTGTGGATGTAAATAAGGAATGTGATTTGTTTGCTGTGAACAATGTGGTCAGCGCTTGATATTAAAAGTTTACCAGAAGTGACCTGGTCTGCTCATATTCTCTACAAGTAGACTGTATTAAATAAGCTTTTCACAACAGGCGCTGCTTTTCTGAGCCACCATTATTAAACACCCCTACCCCGAATCAACACTCACAAAGGTTAGCTCAGATACAGGCTACATGCTGTATTAGGTGCTATACATCTCCCAGAATATTAATCTCTCTCTGCACACTCTGTTAAAATCCTCCTAGGACAATAACTATTTTTGCCAAAGGATTTAACAGAAGCCGAGTTATTGGAATTAAAGGATGAATTTCCTCTTGAAACGTATACACTAGCTTTTAAACATTATGATTGAGACATTTAGTTTATATTGCATTAGCACCCTCCGGCTTGCATACGTATCACACTCGGCACGATGACTGTTCAGATACGATGGAGACACATCAGTCCAGAGATCAGCCCCAAACTGATTACTCATTTATTAGAAAGGCAAGGTAATTGGTTAATCATGTTCCCTCTTAGCCGCTACGTGACTGGAATAAACTCCCCTCACTTGGCCGTCTCTCAACTAGCCAGAGGAATTACTAACACCAATTTAACCCCGTGGCATGGGACATTAATTGTGAGTGTTCCAGGTCATGAAGTCAGGCAGGACACAGCAACCTTCACGCTCAAACCGACTGATGGATATTACATCGGATGCCGTCAGATTCCATGTTCAGCACTTACAAGGAGACTGTGCGAGCCAAACTGCTACCCGCTGCAATTTAGGCAACCTGGGACATCCCTTAAGCAACTATTCTTGATGAATCCTCACATTCTGAGGATTAACGCTCTCATCAGTAGCTAAATCTTCCAATAGAGCGCGCAGGGGTCATGGAATTCACTTCCATGAGTGTTGCGTCACAACAATCTATTGTTTCAACTCCTATTGCTCTAAATGCCTGATGGAAGCTGGGAAATCAAAATGGGCAAAGCTAAGCCGTTGATGCAGGGGGCTCAGATTAATAAAATTGGCACGGTGGAGGTGGTCCCCGGGCAGAGGGAGGGCCAGAGAGATTAGAGATTAGGCTGTAATCCAGTGTGGCAGATTATCACGCTCATCCCGCTGTACCCATCACCTCTCACACCAAGAGACCACACAATCCCCTAGATTACACGGGAAGGATGTTGAGAGGAGGCTGTTGGAAATGGAAATGATAGAAAAACAAGACACGGAAGGGAGAGGATACAGCGGATTGACCGCAGGAGAGGAAAATCAGCCAATCCGCTTTAAGGATGTTTGAGATATCAATCATCAAAGTGGCTCAAAATGACATTTAAATATCATTTTCATTAGACAACTTTCATCAACAACTGAAGAAGACAAGCACCAACATGTTCTTTTTTTTGAATCCCGTAATAAATGGTTTTATTTCTGATGCGCTGCTATAACCATAAGTTACAACACAGCAGTAGGAGCATAAAGTTACCCGAGGAGATTGATTGGAGGATAGTTATCAGTTCCTGCTTGTTTTGATACAAACCGATGACACAGAGGGGAGAGATGAAACGAGCTCGGCGGAATGATTGGAAGCTAGTAATCTGCCTGTATTCCCGTTCATGTATTTTTATTGTTGTTGTTTTTATGTCAACTTCAATGCCATAAAGACAGAGGCTCTCTGTTTGATTTGTTGGCCCGACGCCGGCATCAGTACGGGATCAGCAGAATCGTAATCTACCTTTCAGCCTGCGGCACGGCGCTAGATGCTAATTGACATGTTGTGTCATCCGTGTGTGGCTAGTGTCTTGTCAAGCCATGCACGTGCTGTGTTTTATGTTCTTGGGGCTCTCTCTCCTGCGGCTTCAGAGATCACCAGGAGCCCCTTCTTAGCCCTCCACACATTAAAGCCTCTCTAATGAGTGCTACATTAATTGCCACTCACCCCATGATAATCAACCTCAGGCAGGCGTACATGCGCTAAGGTGCATGTGCTTCTCTTCTATATCCAACATGCATGCCCACACATATAGAAACTCCTCCTGTGCAGATGAAAGCCAAAGATCCCAGAGTAGAATTTTTCTTTTTTTTCTTCTGTCAGTGGATTCCCCTGCCTTAATGAAGTACATTGAAGTCTGAGAATAATATTTCAGTCAACGTGGAGACGCCGGTTGTATTAATGATATGAAATGATACAAAGTGACATACAGTAGAGCGGCATATTGCCTCATTATAATGAGGAGATGATGAAAGTCGGGCTTTGGGATTGCCATCTGAGCCTATGAGATGTGTATATGAAGCCTGTTTATGAGAGGAGGGTTAGTGGCGAATTGTTTTCACTCTATCCGGCGGTGTGGTTGGAAATGGTGTGTGGATGGATGGAATGTGACACAGACAGAGAGGAGGGCTCTTAAAGAGCACATCAATATTCTAGCCTGTGTGCGGAGAGAGCGCAGGGGAGAGGGAGGCCGAGCAGTGCGTGTGCTCACGGACGAGAGTGCATATCGCATGCATGTATGTGGGAAAAAGGAGTCGTGTCTGCGGGTGAGATGAATGTGTGCGTACGTGCTGTTGCAATGTGCAAATGCTGACGGACTGCTCCCTGTTACACTGGTCTCATTGATTTTCTCACGCTGGGATACAGTCTCGGGATGTAACACACACAGCCACACAAACAGACACACACACACGCAGGCAGGCAGTGAAAGTATAGATCATTTAGTGAACCCCCTGCTCGAGCTGCTCAAGTTGAGAAAGCAGCTGCATTTCTGTCTGTGTCTTACTAAGCCTGCATTCAAAACATCTCTCCAGCTGAAGAAATTAAACATTATTTCAAGTGGCAGTCAGTATTTACACTTTGGATGACACATCTTGTGGCGGGCAGGGGGCTTTGTAGTGCTTACTCTTGGCATTTGAGAGTAGTAGATTGATGTCTCAGGCTCTGATGTAATAGGCAAAAAGATTCAAAGTCACTTTTTAGTTTTTCTTAGTAAACAGACTAGACTTTCTTTTTGATTAAAATGTACTGCTTTACTTTTGCCACAGTTTAGACACAATGGGTTTGAATTTGAGTTTGGGGGCATTTGTTTCATTTAGGCTAGTACATAGTAATGACTCTCTTAAAGGTCTCATTTCATGGCCATTTCTACTGATCATAAGTCCATTGTTGAGGACTAGAATATATTGACATTGTTCAATGTTCCAAACTCACATTGGTTTCTTATACAGCATCTCTGTATAGTATGTTGGAGCTCCTGCCCCCCCCCCCCTCCTCCCTATGAGCCCACTGTGCTCTGATGTGTGATTATGTGTTACAATGGCATTTGTTAGCAACCAGAAAATGACACCAGTAATGACAAACAGATGAGAATGCCGCGTGGGGTCTGGGTGCCATGTTGGCGGGACGTTGCGGGGCTCGCTGCTCCGCCCTTTGAGACTCGAGGAGCGGACAGTATGAGCTGGATTACTGGTGTCATTTCCTGGATGCTGCGTAGGGTCTGCGAGACAGCGAGAGGCCGCGGAACTCAGGCTGAGTTCCTCTCTTTAAATACAGACATTTAAATATTGTACTTACTTACTCAAATACTTGCAACTGTAATTCCTCGTTATATAAGACTATCAATGTTTTCCATACAATCACATGAGTATAGACAATACAACACATTGTTTTGGATTGAACCATCTGATAGGACATCACGTAGATGAAATGTGTTGTTTTCACATTGATACATCAGCATTACATTATTTCATTATGTAGCTCATCATTATATCACAATGTCACTCATAGTGTCATATATGTGCAGAAAGAAGTACTTGTGCTGATAATACTGTACATTTACTTGAGATAGATTTG